ACAACTGTGCTTGTGAAAGTGGCTCGAGTGCCTGAGAAATGTGGGGTGTATGAAAAAGTGTAGGACAGGAATGAGGTAGGCATACTATTTACCCTGACCACTAATTCATACAGGACATAGAAGCCCACGCTTCAAAACTTATGCACTAGGAGATTCCACTCGTAGCGCAGGCGCGGGGGCCGATAGGGGAAGAGTAAGAGGAGAAAGCGATAAGGGAAACTGATATATTCGCAGTCCAAGAGCTTGCACTGTAACTGAAGATAAACTTTAGTATCGCCACAGATCTTTTATTTTTGTGTATTCAATTTCAGGGCTGTCGAATTCTGTCACGTGCAAAAAGTGGCGTGAAAATTTTGAATCCATCGGCTGTGTTATACCCACTGGTAGGTACATGTGCCGAAAATAAGCCAGTGCGTCTTAAGCTGCAGAAGGGAGTGCAGTACGCGTGGTGCTCATGTGGATTATCCGGAAAACAGGTAATTTTTGCTGAATTGCAATAAGGCATTTCCCAACGAGATCTCGAACGGTGTTTTAATTCACTAACAACGTAAATTTGTTCAGCCGTGGTGCGACGGTAGTCATAAAGCGGAAGGTGTCACAACACTGAGACCTGTTGTTTTCGAAGTTGAAGCTGACGGAGAATACAGTATGTGTCTGTGTAAAGCTACTGAGAAACGTCCGCTCTGCGATGGCCATCACCGCAAGGTACCGCATTTTTGATCGATTCGCGTGGCTTCCCAGGTGCATGCCTTTTAATTTCTTGTTTGAACATTTCGAGTATCTTAACTGGACCTTTCAGTGTCGCATGCCTTTACTGCTCATTTGCAGTGTATTTAAATTTGATTACTGAGTTCAGTACTCAGTACTCTGAAATCGAGCAGGACGTGGCAGAACAAATGATTCAGCTGAGATGTCAGCTATCCTACCCGAGAGAAAATACACTGTGAAGGAATTTACACTGAGTAGATCCGATAAAGTCAGTTTGTTGTTTTCGACGTAATGTACAATGCGAATTTTTGATAGAAAAAAATGAGAGTTGTGGGTGTTGCCTAAAGTCTAGCTCGAGCCAACAGTCTGGATGCATCAGCGGGAAAACCAGTCAATCTACAGTTCGTTTAAAATATGATAAATCTAATACTGGCACATATCATAGATTTAAAACCAGTTGTAACCTTGCTTCTTAAGTAGCCGTATGAGAGGATGG